CTGCTGCCGCCCCAGGTGAGACGCCGGGAGGACTGGGGAGGCTGAGGCCTGGCCGGGCGCCCCGCTGCACCTGCTCGGCGCCTTTGCAGCCCCGCGGAGCTCAGGCTCCCCGCGCTCCACCTCCGTGCGCTCCCCGCTCCGCCGCCAGGCGCCCGTCTGCACCTGCTCGGCGCCTTTGCAGCCTCGCGGAGCTCGGGCGCCCCCCTCTCTAACGCCGGGCGCCCCGCTCCACCGCCATGCACTCCCCGCTCTAACGCCGGGCGCCCCGCTCCACCGCCGTGCACTCCCCGCTGTACTTTTTCGGCGCCTTTGCAGCCGCGCAGAGCTCGGGCGCCCCCGGTGCCACCTGTCACCTCCCAACTCTGTCCACACTCTGCATGCCTCGCTCTTGGAGCTTTTGCCTTGCTGGATCCTTTGCCGCGGCCAGCCTCATACCCAGGGCCCCCTGTGCGCGCAGCTCCCCGGCCAGGGCTGTGCCCATTCATCCCGCGCTTGCTGGGCTTTGTTCCGGAACGCGACCGGAGTGGCATCCTGGAACATAGACAAGGGGGCCATGGCAGGGGCAGGGAGCGAGGCGGGTGCGGAGCTGTCCCGGGCAAGGGCACAGCGGTCGCCAGTCCCGACCCCGACTGCAGGCCGAGTTAGCAGGTTGTGGTTTGTTGGGTGGCAGTAACTGTGACCCCACTCCCCAGCAAGCGCCTGGATACGGCGGGTCCCCGCTCACTTAGTAACAACTGAAATAGGCACCCGGGAAGCTACAGAACACTGTCATCCAGAGAGTGTGCCCTGGACGGCGTAACTGTCGGCTGCTAGGAGAGCTGGTTCTCTGACGGGGGTCTCCTAAGACCAGGGGGTCCACACATCATCAGAAAATCACAGTCCTTTTCTGTGCCTGCATTGTTGACGACAAAATGCTCCTCAGTCCCTGATTGCTATGGAGTGACTTCTTCCACTAGAACGAAGTAAAGAACGAAAGAAAAAACTTAAGATTGTACTGGCTTGATTGATCTGACTGTGAGTTTGACAGTGTAGGTATACCTGGTTTCCCTGGGTGGTGCAAATGGCAGAGAGAGTCATACCTCTCTCTGAGGCCCCTCGGAAGAAAGGCCTGGCAATCCACCTGTGCAAGATCACAGCCATGAAAGCCTACTCTGCAAACTTAGTGTTATCTGAGCCCTGTCAGTGGAGGCTGTACCCCCAAGACCGTAATGTTGACGTTTGGGAAGATAAGCATGATTAGGCCCCAGACACCCCACCGCCTGGAGGAGAGATCTGGAATAACTAGGGTGTGATCGCAGGTTTCCTCATTTGCAGGTGAGCTGGGCGGCTGGATGAGCTTTGGCTCCTATTCTCTGCTGGAGAGCCACCTACCTCCCCAACAGGCCCAGCAGGACTGTGACTGCCCACTGTCCCCAGGGTTCAGACTGATGGCTTCCCAGCCTCTCTGCCTTGCACCTTGTGGTTTGCTCAGTGCTTGGCAGCTACACAAAGGTTTTCGTTTCAGCTTTTCAAGATGAACAGGCCCAGAGGTTGAGTAACTTTGCCCAAGGCCCCTCCACTGACGTGACCTGTGCTCAGGCCCCCTGCCAGATGTGGCAAGTGGCTCCAGCTTTTTCGTTTTGGGGGCTGCACTTTGGGAAAGAATCTTAAAGTGACCGTAAAATGAAAACCAGCTTAATCCAGGGTAGGCTTCGCGATGGGATGGTGTTCTGTAGCTAATCTTAGGATGGCACACTTTCAGTGGCAGTCGCGGTAAGGTCACCCCTCTGTGCCTCATTTGGGTGATCCTCTGAGCCCCAGCTGCGCCACAGAGGCCACAGAGGCAGACCTTATGTATACTTCCACCCTAGTGACTCCCAGATAAGATCACCAAGTTCGAGATACAGATTCAGTGCATGTGGAAATTGGCTCTGGTTGAGGAGCACGGGGACTGTTGAAGAGGTGGCAGCTAAACAGATTTAGAAGTGGAAGTTCTGAGTAAAAAATACGGACATGAAATTTACAACAAGGAATGAATAATAATAAAATTTGGATGCAGAGAGACAGTGATCTAGGGAGGAACAGGGCAGATGGCCTCACCACCTTGTGGGTCAGGGGACCAGAAGCCCATTGATGCTGCCTTTTTTCAGGTCTTGGTCTTGTGCCCACTCAGGTATTCCCATTATCTTCCTGTGTTCTTTCTCACCTGCCCACTCCTTCCACTGCTTCCCTTCCACCTGGCATGCCCCTTTTGATCCTGCAGACACTGTCCAACCACCAGACCCCCTGAGAGATCAGCTTCTCTGGAGGCCCACCACCCTGGGGCTGTACCATGAGACCATGGTTAGAGCCTCTACCCTGCCTATCTGCTTAAGTCTGTTTTTGTTGGTACAGGACTCTGCTCCGTGGCTTATGCATAGGGCTCCCAGGGACACAGTGAAAGTTGTCTGTAAGACATAAACATCACAGAGTAGCAAAGGTAATACCCACATGTTAAACCAGTTTGGAAGGCAGAGAAACCAGTTACTAGACCAGTGATGCCACTATGATAATCCTAAAAGAAGGATAGGAGTTGATGTTTGGGTGTTTAAAGGCATAATATCCCAAGAGCTGAGAGAAGTATTCTAAGTGACTGATGATAAAATAAAACAATATGGATCATGAAGGATACAGAAAAGAAATTCAGTTGTTACTTGAGCCACATATGGCTCCAGGACACTGGCACAGGCTCCGTGCACTTCTTCATAAACCAAAGTGTCTCCGCTGTTTGTAGCAGATCATTCAGACAGAGACACGTTCTCACCTGGTTGGAGTGAAGCTTCCCTTCTGCCCTGTGTGACGTGTGGGCTCTGCACAGAGGCTCTGGGGCTCTTGATCTGTGGTTCTCAACTAGGGGTGAGTTTGTTCCGTCGGAGATTATGTCTGGAGACACTTTAGATTGTCACCAAGTGAGGGGTGCTTTGGCGTTTTGAGGTTCAAGGCTGGGGATGCTGCTAACTGTCCTGTGATGCCCAGGCCAGCCTCCCCGCCCCCCCCCCCCCCCCCCCCCCCCCCCCCCGCCCCCTCAGGCCTGGCCTCTGTCAGCAGTGCCCCCCAGGGGAGCGCTCCGGCCATGCCTAGCTGCTCCTCTCAGAGGAAGAGGTCTGTTTTTAATTTTTTTTTAACTTTTCATTGTGATCTGGGTCATTTATAGCAAAACTTGACAGAGCAAAGCAGTTTTTCCATTCAGAAAGATGCAGTTTGTTCCCTGCCGCTGACTGCAGCCCATGTGGTCTGACAGTTCCTCCTCCTCTCCTGCTTCCCATTTCCAGTCGTCCCCCTTTGTTGTCTCTTCCTGCCTTCTGAACTTGTCTCTGGGAGAAGTGTGCCCTTTTGCTGGCCTGCCATTCCCGCCCTGGGAGGGCCAGGAACAAGCCTGTTTTGCTGTATCCTGTGACAGCTGTAGCTCTAACTCCTGTCCCAGTGTCCCTGGCACATGGTGATTGATGAGTAAATGTCTGTGGGATGTGGAAGGCCACCTGCCAGCTGGTGGATGTTTTGCCCTTGGACACAGAGCTGCCCAAGTCTCCTCGTCCACACATTTGTGCCTGTGGAGTGCTTATGGAGTCCTGGCAGTGGAGAGAGAGAGAGACAGAGACAGAGAGAGTCGAGTATGACATGTAGCGACCCTGTGAACAAAAGATCTGAACCCTGCTCTGTCCTGTGCTATCGTCACACGTCCTGACACACAAGACCCCATTGAAGCAGTCACCGTATCAGTCCACTTAGTTGAGGGTCTTCCTCTCTTTCACTGACCTTCCACCCTTCCCAGTATCATGTCTTTCTCCAAGGGATAGCCCCTCCTAGCAACATGCCCAAAGTGTGTGAGGCGAAGCCTTATCATTCTTGCCTCCAAAGAGTAGTCTGCTGTCTCCTCTCCAAGACATATCTGTTCATTCTCTTTGGCCGCCCATGGGATGTTCAGTGCTCTTCTCCAACACTACAGCTCAAAGGCATCAGTTCTTTTTCCGTCATCCTTATTGTCCGGCTCTCAGATGCATAGCAAGTAATCTTAAGGACCATGGCCTTTATAAATAAGATGCACCTTAGTCCTAAAACTGACATCATTATGCCTCAATAATTTGGAGAGGTCCCTAACTGCAGATTTTCCCAGTGCACTTCATCTCCTGATTTCTTGACTGCTGGTACCAAGGGTGTTAATTGGGGATCCGAGCAAGATGAAGCTGTTGACAGTTTCAATCATCTCTCTATCCATCATGATACTGCCTATCAATCCAGTGGTAATAATCTTTGTCTTTTTGACATTGAGATGCAATCCATACTGAAGGCTGTATTCCTTGATCTTCTGCAACAAGTGCTTCAAGTCCTCTTCACTTTCAAGCAAGGTTGCCACGCTCCTCTTCTTAGAGTCCAACCTCTTGAATAATTGGCTCATCACACAGATTGAATACCTATGGAGAGAGAACACAACCCTGACGCACGCCTTCTCAATTTTAAGCCATGCAGTTTCTCTGCTCTGTTTGCACACCAGCCTCCTGGTCCAGGTATAGGTTCTGCGTGAGCACAATTAAGTGCTCTTGGGATTCCCATTCTTCACAGCTTGTTATGATCCACACGGTCAAATGCTTGACATAGTCAGTAGAGCACAAATAGCTGGGTCCAGAAGTACATGGATTTAAAACAGCCCTGTATTCAGTATGTGTCCTGAAGACACACTCACGGGACACACGTGCAGAAGTCGCTGAGTGACCGAGTCACTGAGGGTGCCACCCACCAGCACAGGGGACTTAGCGAGCAAAAAGGAGTGAGAAAAGCAAGCAGGGGGGAAAATTACTGAAGATGACACCAGTTAAATTTAAAAATGGCACAGCTGAACTATGTTTTTATCAGGGATATCTACGTATGTATTAAGATAACTAAGAATGGCAAACAGCATGTCCAGGGTAAGGCTCCGCGGGGAGGTGGGCACCAGCAGAGGCTTCACCTGATGTGGCACCTTTTTTTTTTTTATTTTTGTGTGAGTGTACCGTCAAATCAGATCGGACTGGTACAGGAGGGGATTGTCCCTCCTTTTCCCGGCAGAGCATCTGGTGGATTCGAACCGTGTGCCTCTGGGAGTGTAGTTGCAGCTCCTTGCCACTAGGCCACCAGAGCTCCCCAACTGATGTGGCATCTTAAGGTGGGAAGCGGGGTCCTGGGATAGGTGGCAACCCATCGTTGTCCCCTGTGTGTTTATAAGAATAGGTATGTATCTGTACTATAGATGAGCTCTGGTGGCCTAGTGGTAAGAAGCTGTGCTGTAATCCCAGAGGCACAAGGTTCGAATCTATCAGCTGCTCTGCAGGAGAAGAATGGACCGTTGCCCTTCCATTCAATTACCTGCCTCTGAAAACCTGCTGGAGGGTCAGCTCTGGGCCATTTCTGACGTGATGCCATACCCCAGCAAATAGGTATTTATTTATATGAATCCCCGTGTTGAATTCTATCAATGTGCTGTATTAACAACTATAATTAAAAGCGATATGGAGCTTTGGTGGCCTAGTGGCAAGAAGCCACACTGCAGTCCCAACAGCACATGGTTCAAGGACACCAGCTGCTTTTAACTGCCTCTAAAAACCCACCCAGAGGGTCGGCTATGGGTCGGTTCCAACTCTGGTACACAAGGAGGGGGGAAAGGAACTAAAGAACTACAGAGTAAAAGCTATAAAGAAGGATATTACAATAAAACCTGCAGAAGTCAGTACTTGTGGAATGTGGAAGGGTGTCAGAGAAGACAGCTCAGACATCTGTTCAAATGAGTGTGGGGTTGAGAAGCCAAACACTCCGTTCAGTATAGCACTCCGTTTGTGTAACTAAACCCCTGTGTGGGGAACTTCCCAGAGTCTTAAAGCTTTGTCTTAAACTGCCTCCCAGAACAGTAACTGCTATTGTTTAAATGTTTTGCACTCTGTGTATCACTGTACCCTTGAAATGTTTCAACAGCAGAAGGTGTCCACGTACCCTTGAGTGTATCACTGGCCTGTGAAATGTTTCAACATTTGACCCAAGTAGCCCAGCACAGAGGCAAGTAAGGGTATAAAAACCTCATAGCCAGATGCCAGAAAGCGAGTGATCCGGCCTTGTTGCGGGTCCCCCGCTGTGCAGCTAATAGAAGACGCACCTGTAATCCTGCTTGTCTCTTGAGTCGTTGGGCGTAACAGGGGAGTAGTGTGATGTCCCCTGAGGCCCAGGGGACAGGGCAGTCTGATGGAGGTCTGTCTCGATGGCTTCGCTGTCATTTCTGGGTGTTGAAATAAAGTTCGTGGGTTATGAGTACAGTTTGTAAACAGTCATGCAGAGTAGGTAATAATGCCTTTCTGTAATGGTCAGTAGTTTTATTTTGTGTTTATAAAACATGTTGATGTGTGTGCTTGGCAGTACAGTGCTATGGCTTCCAGCAGAAAGTTTGGAAATCACTTCTTCAACAGAACAGCTGTATTAGCATATGTTTCCATATATGAAAGACGCAGTATGTAATTTAGAGAAAGAATTCCAGCAGTGACTCTACGGTGGGCACTGAATTGCTGACCCCATGCTAACAGTGCGCTGCTTTGTCCTCTTTCTGTATCTAAGCAACTGGAAGCCATTTGTGTCAAGGTCACGCCTGGAGAGATGCGCAGTCCAGCGAGCCTGTTGCCTTCACTGGTCACCATCCAGCCCAGAACGTCACAGCCCTGCTCACTGTCCACCAGGAGCCCCAGCCTCCTGGGCCCGGGCATCACGGGCCCCCAGCCACTCAGGATCCAGCCTCTGCCATTGCAGAGCCACCTGAGTGGCCCTCCCCAGCCTCCTGCCCAGGTGTTTGTACGGGGACCACAGCCCACCCTCAGCCCAGGCTCTGCGAAGGGAGCTGCAGCCTGCCAGGCCCGGAGTGGACGAAGGACCTCACCTGCCCCTTCCCCAGTCTCCGACCCGCCTGCCTTGACATCTGTTTCACCCAGTTCAGCAAACGGCCTTCTTTCCGTCTTGAACACACAGCATCCTGAGAAGCTGAGGAGATCCTTGGAAGTGAAGACCCGCTCTGGCCGCATCTCCCGGCCCCCCAAGTATAAAGCCAAAGACTACAGATTCATCAAGACGGAGGACTTGGCTGATGGGCACCTGTCAGACTCAGACGATTACTCGGAGCTCAGTGTGGAGGAGGATGAGGACGAGAGGGGCAAGCGGGCGCTCTTCGACTCCACCAGCTGCCCCCTGCGCCCCAAGACCTTCAAGTGTGAGACCTGTGAGAAGTCCTACATCGGAAAGGGCGGCTTGGCACGGCACTTCAGACTCAACCCTGGCCACGGCCATGGCCCACTGGAGCCTGCAGCACTGATGTCGGAGAGAGCCAGTGGGCATGTCCCCCAGGGCTGCACGGGGGACAGGACCGCCAGCCCGGGCTCCCCAGAGCCATCCGTTGCCATCCTCAGGGAGGAAGGGGTCCTCGCCCCGTGTGCCTCAGAGGCGGAGACTACTGAGGGCCGACTGCAGGTAACTTGTCTCCCTGCCCCCATCCCTTCCTGCTGCCCCCTCCACCCCACTTCACAGTGTCAGATGAAGGAGCAGCAGAGGCTTAAGCAGGACCAAAGTCATTGTGTCGGGTCCATGACGTGGCTGTCTGCTTCTGTGTAGCTGTACCGCCGTGCAGACCCGCCAGGATGGTCCAGGAGCCCTAGAGGACCAAACGCAACAGCATTGAGTCTGATTTTTTAAAAAAAAATTTTTTTTAAAATAATTTTAATGAACATTTACAGAGATTTTGGATTTCCATTCATTCATTGCTGCACTTCTTTCTCCACCCAGCCCTCCCCCCCACCCCAGTTCACTCCTCTCTTTGAAAAGTAAAATAAACACTCTCTCCCTGGTACACAATCTCCCCGCACCCCTCCCACCGCCCCAAGTACATTTCACTCTGCAGCCTTAATTGTGGACTCTTGTGATAACCATAATACCCTATCATACATCGCTTTTAAATTATTCTCTCCCTCATCTGTTTCAGTGCAGTATACACAATTTATCCAGTTTTTCTCAGTTTTACCACAACCCTGATATCAGTCCCATTTTACAGCAGTGGCATCATGCAGTATTTGTCCTTTGCAACTGAGATACTTCACTCAGTGTGTGTGTTTGTGTGTGTGTGTGTGTGTGTGTGTGTGTGTATGTGTACTATCAAATCAGATCTGACTGGTACAGGAGGAGATTGTCCCTCCTCCAGGAGAGCTTCTGGTGGATTTGAACTGTGCGCCTCTGGGATTGCATTCAGCTTCTTGCCACTAGGCCACCAGAGCTCCCTAGAGTCTGCTTTTTATTATTTTCCTTCTTCCAAATCCCACCCTATAGATGAAGCTGCCTCTTAGGAGATTCGAAGCCTCTATCGACTAGCAGACACTCAGCTTGTATGAAGCTGTTCTGTTGCTTTTCTGGGCTGTCCCAGGCTGCTGTCGTCATGTGTTGCTGAGTGGGAACCAGCTCACAGCTGACCCTCCAGCCGGTCTTCAGAGGCAGTAAATCGCATGGGAGGAGATTGTCCATCCTTCTCCCACAGAGCAGCTGGTGGATTCGAACCACATGCTTTTGAGATGGCAGTGCAGTGTCTTACAACTAGGGTGCTAGCGCTCCCTGTTCAGGGCTGAGGGGACCACACAGTTTATCATATAACGCAAGATGTTTTGCAAGTGAAGCAACTTGGTTCGTAACTGAGGAGCAGTAGGGCGCCCAGCACTTCCTGACAGACTGAACACCCAGCCCTTCCTGCTTCCTTCAACGTAAGAATCCTTCACACAGCAAAGGAAGCTCGGGAATACTGTTTGCTAAACGTAGGCACCTGGCCTCTGGTATAGCGCCCATCCATCCAGGTGGCTTTTTTTTTTGCTATTTGTCTCTTTTTTTTTAGTTATTTTTTTCTCAATTTTTTAAAATTTAAATTTATTGTTAATTTCAGTAAAAATTTACA